ATCCTAGGTGGCACTCTTTGTGTTTCTCTGCTATGATTTGACTATTTCTTGTTTTTCCATCTATTTTAGGTGATGATAAGTGACACTGAAGCATGGTTAATTTCATCAGTCATAGCACCCAGTCAGAAAAATGGGGAAAAGAAACTATTTGAATGGATTGTAGATTCAACTGAGAAAGTAATCAATAAAATTAGTGATGCGAATACAAAAAGAGAAATACAAAATTAGCCCTAACAAAAGAACAAAGATGACCTGAAAATACTGGAGAATGTTCTTAGCATTTCCTCTGCTTTTTGCTCCAAGAATCTATTTCCCTTTAAGCCTAAAATGTTAATCGAATAGTAGAGTATGTTAGGAAAATGATCAGATGAGAAAGCGAGAGAGAGAGAATTTGTGATCCGAAATCTATTTCTGATTTCTCAATTCTCTTCGCAGCAGCAAAATCACAAAATTATAGATCACAAGACTGTGTGGAAAAATCATTCTTAATGCACAAAAGCTATGCTGAGTTTTTGACACCTTGCTGTGTAAAATGATAAAATGTTCTTGTTATAAGTTCTGGAAATAAGTATTAAATATTTCCAGCAACCAGTACCAACATATTTACAGTCAAATACTTCAAAAATGGAAATCTTGTTCTTTTATAAAGTTCCTCATTTTATTGACGCCTCACTCGATCAATGTTTTTGAGATACTTATACAAATTATTAGCTCAAAAGTTATAGTAGTGACTCTTATAGATAGATTTAGTATACTCTAAAGTATTCACAAAGATAAAGGAAAATGTCCTACATATTTTCGAATATATTATTCTTTCAACTCAATTGAAATCAAGAGTTTGTCAATGCATGGACAAACGTACATTTGTGTAAATTACTTTTCTATTTGGGGGAGGGGGGGAAGACATGCATAATAAACTCCATGCACTCTTTTTACCCAACATTGAGTATGTGCAATGTTCCAAATATCTATTCATGAACCAAATACAATATACAACCTACTTTAATTTCTATAGAGATCCATCGACTAGTTGTAATACACCGAAAGCATAGTCATTACCTTCCTCGCCTCCTATCTGCAACATTCAAAAAGTCTATTATTGAACGAGGGAACTGATTTTTTATGGCTTTTTCTTCCTAGCTGATGCTCCACTATTGTGTCGGATTAATCATTTATGGCTTTTTTTAAATTTTTGAAGTGAGAGAATTTAGTTAATTACTTAATTTACAGTTGGATCGTCCATCAAGTGCACAACCTTACAAATCGAACTGCCGTCACTGAGCAGTAGATTCTGATTGTATGCAGCCTATCTATTGATTCGACAGTAAGGCCCCAAATAGGTCTCTGCCAATTTTGATGCTCTTTATAGTCCCACTGTAAAATTAGATTTTCCCCTCTTTCAATGATTTTTCTTCTCTCATAATCAGATGTAATGTAATATGCTTCGGAAAAAAAAAAAACTGGTCTGGAAGTTGCAATTTCACAAAGTAGTTCTGAGCTATGGTCGTTGTGCAGTTCTGGTTGAGTATGTTGATTAATGTCTAAAGCTTTGTTCTGGTTTTAGCTTACTGAACTCATCTGATGCATGAAACCAATGATGGTTCAGAATCATGTAGTATTACATATTTATCTAATAGGTTTAAGATGAACACATAAATTTTGATGGATTAGTATACTTTTAGAGATTATTCCTACTTTTCCACTTTGAATATGTGAATAATAGATTTCAGGGTCGTATTATTCTTTAGAAGCTATGAGCAAATTTTCTCAAAATATCTTGGATTGGATATGAAATTAGATCTACTGAGGTCAGTGAGAAAAATAGTATTATATACCTTTTCTGACTTGTGAAATCTTTGTGCTGTGTCCTTGTTCTGGTCAAAGGTTTCAAGTGCTGGCACACTGAAGCTATGTCTACTACTGATGGTGAGAGTAATCCAAGTCGCAATGAGCTGAAACAAGAAGGATCATCTGGAACTCTTCCTCCTAGTCCTACTACACAAAGCTGCGAAGAATCTGGTTTTGCCAAGAAAAGAGGAGAGTACAAGAAGAGGTCCAAAGCTTGGGATCATTTTCATGTAAAGCATGTGAATGGAGTTCGTCATGCAATTTGCAAGTACTGTGACAAGGACATAGTTGCGGATCCCAAAAGTGGTACGACTCCCCTTAATACTCATGTAGCTAAATGTCCTCTAAATTTTAAAAGTAAGCACACTGGCCAGGCTACTTTGTGTTTAGGTGAAACTGAAACCTCAGCGGGAGAGGTTAAAGGGGCACTCATAAGTTGGATATTTGATGCGGAAGCCATTAGAAAAAGCTTAACTTATATGATAATTGTTGATGAGTTACCATTTAAACATGTAGAGGGTAGAGGCTTTCAATATATGATGCGGACTGCTTGTCCATCATTTAGAATTCCTTCGAGATGGACTATTTCTAGAGATTGCTATCAGCTGTATTTAGATGAAAAAACTAAGTTGAAACAACTCTTGAAGAATAACAGTGGCAGAATTTGTCTAACCACAAATTCTTGGACATCCATTCAAAGGATAAACTATATGTGCCTCACTGCCCATTTCATAGATAATGATTGGAAACTGAACAAAAAGATCCTAAATTTCTGTCCTATTGCTAGTCACAAAGGAACTGAAGTTGGTAAGGCCATAGAAAAGTGTCTACTAGAATGGGGAGTTGATGATATCCTAACTGTCACAGTTGACAATGCAAGTTCCAATGATGTAGCTGTCCAGTATTTACGAGAAAAGCTTCAAAATTGGGGAAAAGCTGTGTTAGGGGGGAAATGGACTCATGTGAGGTGTGTAGCTCACATAGTGAATCTAATTGTTAATGATGGCATCAAAAAACTTGAGGATTCAGTTGATTGTATCAGGGCAGCAGTTAGATATGTTAGACAGTCACCTTCTAGATTGAAAAAATTCAAGGAGTGTGTTGAAATTGAAAAAATTGAATGCAAAAGATTGCTCTGTTTAGATGTATCTACTAGGTGGAATTCTACATATCTAATGCTAGACACAGCTCAAAGGTTTGAGCGAGCTTTTGAGAGGTTTGAGGAGCAGGATTCTTATATGCTTCAAGAGTTAGAAAATCTGCCAACAAAATCTGATTGGACAAAAGCTAGATTCTTGGTAATTTTTTTGGAAAACTTTTATCAGCTAACTGTGAAGGTTTCTGGTTCCAAATATGTGACTTCAAATAATTTTTTCACTGATATTAGTCACATTCATGGCATTTTAATTGAAATGACAGCAAGTGATAATGATGAATTGAGTTCAATGGCAAGATCAATGAAGGAGAAATATGATAAGTATTTGGGAAAAATTGAAAAGATGAATATGTTGATTTTTATTTCCTCCATTCTTGATCCTCGAACTAAACTTGAATACCTTGAATTTGTGGTTTGTCAAATGTATGGTGAGTCCGATGGTACAACAATAGCTGGCCTTGCAAAAGATGCAATGTTTGAGCTGTTTAATGAATACAAGATGCTCAACACACCTGCCTCTCATGCTTCTTTACTTTCAAGTGATTCTCCAACAAGTAAAATTACATTTCATGGACATGGGGATGCCTCTAAAATAATCACTGATAGGTACAAGTTGGAGTTTAAGAAGAGAAAAATGGAACTTGAGGGTAGGGATGCAAAATCTGAATTAGAGAAGTATTTGAATGAGGATTGTGAGGAAGATGATGAGAGATTTGATATCTTGTTATGGTGGAAGGCCAATAGCCTTAGATTCCCAATCCTTTCCAAAGTTGCTCGTGATGTGTTAGCAATCCCAATTTCTACCGTGGCCTCCGAATCTGCTTTTAGTACCGGAGGTCGTGTTCTTGATACATTTAGGAGTTCTTTGACTCCTAGAATTGTGCAAGGTTTAATATGTGCTCAAGATTGGCTTCGGTCATCCAAGACAGAATTAAATGTAGAAGAAAATCTGGAAGAGCTTGAAGCCTTCGAATCTGGTAAGCTATCAAAATTTTTATTGCAGAATTTGAAGTATTTCTTTCTTTCTAATAATTGCCTTTATGATACTTCATGAATTTTATTTGTTCTTGCAGAGTTGCTGAAGACCGGAGCTGAACCAACTATAATTGACATTTGAGAGGTCACTCTTGTTGCAAGTTGCAGTTTCAACGTAATTGGCTTTATGTATTGCAACTCTTCTTGTGGCTTTCTGGATTCTGGATTGTGGATTGCAGTTTCTGGATTATTGACCTTTGTGGCTTTGTGGCTTTCTAGATTGTGGAATGTGGATTGTGATTTTTGGACAAGTTAATTTAGACTTTTATTTTTGTTTCATTATGATTTCTGGATTGATTTATGATTGTGGATCAGTGGAATTTCTGATTTGTAGCACCAGGGCAACTGGGCAACAGTGTAATTTCTGATTTGTGATTTGTGATTTCTGGATTTGTTTGTCATTTGTGATTTGTTTGTGGATCAGTGTAATTTGTTTATGATTTCTGGATTTTAATGATCAATGTGAATTGTGTATTGTTTCGATTTCGAATTTCTGGAGTGATTTGTGATCAGTTACATTCGAACAATTTGTAAGTTGTGGCTCAGTTCAATAGCATTGCTATTTGCTGATGAAAAATGGGCCGAAGAAGCAGTTTTCACTAATTCGGTAATTCGGTAAATTTTTTGTTTATCGAATTGAATTCGGGTTGAATTCGAATTCGGTAGTCTCTAATTCGAATGCGAATTAGGTCGAATATTTCTAGAATCATTTACCGAAAATTATCGATTTCAACCTATCGAATTATCGAATTCGAATTCGCTGCTCACCCCTAGTAGGGCCTTTCCTTATTTCAGTTTCTAGCTTGATTCTAGCCAACAAGCCAACTGATTTACTTATCACTCTAGCCGTAATTACTTCACGTATGGACCCCACACAACAGGCCTTCTTTCATGCACAGGCTTCATCATTGGGCCTACCTAGAACCCACCTTATGGGCCTCGATTCCGTAACTGGCCACGTAAATAATTTTCCGTGATTGAAGAATTGCCATTCGAGTTTTGATGGAAAGAAGTGGTTAGAAATGGTAATGATCGCGTTGTTTCATGCCAAAAAATTAGGATTCAGGTTTCCATAAAGATGACGCAAGTCGATAATATAAAATTGATTTACGAACCCTAACGATTTGAGGCGAGACAGATAGAGAGAGATCATGGGCCGCGGAGGAAGCGGGGGAACGAGGTCTGCCGGAAGGTCTTATGGAGGTGGCTATAATTCGTATGGTGCGTTATTCCGTACTGTAATTCCAGCTTTTGTTTCCATGCGGCCCTTTATTTTTTTTAAATCTAAAAATCCAATTCGATCTCTGTTTCAGAAGGGGCTGCCGGAGGTTCAAGGTTGCGTAAGCGTTCTTCAGCTTCATCAGTCTTCACAGCACCATTCGATGAGCAGTATTGGAAAGAAGTGAAGTGGATGTATAATTTGACCGACGAGTCGAGGTGCAGATTGGGCTTAGAGCTTCTGGATACGGTAGGTATATTAGGATGCCCATTGTCACCAATTCATCGTCATAGGAGGATATTTTGCACCAGTATATTGTGGTTTTATTTTTCTCTTTTAGCTTGTTCGTTTTTGACACAAGTGTCCGAGCTTGAGCTTAGCTGACATACTGATTCAATTGCATCCAACTGAAGCTTAAGCTATGCTAATCATCAGACTTTCGATCTATGGCAATAAGAATTTTCGTTTGATTCTTTTTTAGTGCGAAGAAAATAGAGGACCTGGTGCCCCCGAATGTGAAAAATACCGGCAAGTGCTTGCGGACTGTTGTAGCGGTCGAAGGGGTAAGTTGCCCATTTAATACATGGGTTAATTCTTCATGGAGTGTTTCCGTGCTGCCCATTTAGTTTGTTGCTTTTTCTTTCAAAATCCAATTGTTCTTTGTTTTAGCTGGGGCCCCTAGATGTCCCAAAGCTTCATCAACCGACAGAGCACTGGGGGATGATAAGACGTGGATGTATAAGTTGAGCGATGGGAGTAGATGCAGATGGGGCTTAGAGCTTCTGAATATGGTAGGTGTATTACCATGTGACTGTCGCCAGTTCATCATCAGAGAATATTCGAACCAGTGAATTCTGTTTCTTCGCTTTGAGTGTTGGATACTCTAGTATAAGATACAGATATCAGATTTAAGTATTTTTTTTTATTTTAATGAAATTAAAATGAAAAGATAATGGGCTTCCAATTCAAGCTTGAGCTTTGTGATATGGATTGCATTAGACCAAACTCAGACCTCAAACCTTAGCTAGGTTTTCTATAAAAGCCCATTTTTTTAGACTATTGATGGATATGTTGTAAAGAATTTTCATTTGATTGTTTTGTAGTGCGAAAATATCAGGTCACCTGGTGCCTCAGAATGCGATAAATATAGGGAAGTGCTTGATGGCTGTCTTATGGCAGAAAGGCGTAAGTTGCCATTTATCGTACTCGTTCGACTTTCAACTTGTAGTCTTTTGAAATATGAAATAGCTGCAAATTTGTGAATTTTTTTGTACTTCGATGGAAAGTAAATCATCTGGCACTTGCTCACTCCCTCTCCCTCTTATTGGTCAGACGTCTATTTATAGCTGTTAATTTGTTCCTGATTTTGTCTTATCCTTTGCATTCATTCATATATAGTGTTTGCTACTTGGTAGGATTAATCAATCATGGCTACATTTACCTGATGTATTATAGCTTGGTCTATTCAAGTGATACGCTTAACTATCACATTGGAGCTCTGCTCTTTTAGGACATATTATTTGGAATCCTAGATATTTAAAGTACTTAGATTTGTATTAGTGCCATCAGCATTGTCCATGCAGTAAAATATTTTCCTTGTTAAATTCGTAGGTCTAAGCCCCCTCTCTCTGACCTTCCTTTGGTTTTCAAATTAATTGAATCATCCTTGTTAATGCTCTTTCCTGGACTATGGTGATTTTCTTGAGTGTAACCTGCGGCCAAGATATTGCAAATTGCAAATAACAAAGGATCAAATTGAAAAGGCAAATGAATTAATTGACTTAAAATTGTGAGATCAACCTTTTATGTTGAAATAATCAATTTATGCGCAAATGGTACAAAGTAAACTGGAAAGACAAATGAAATTGACCTTGAATTTTTTAATTTTTTTGTTTTCAAATGAGAGATTTAACACATTATATTAATGAAGGTAAATGCTTGAATTTATTCTCGTATATGTAGTGTACGTAAGCATGTCCTTTGCTCTCTTATGTGTGTCTCTTGGTATGATTGATTCTGTTTGATCCTAGGAGGCACTTTTTGTGTTTCTCTGCTATGCTTTGACTGTTTGTTGTTTTTCCCTATATTTTAGGTGATAAGCGACATTGAAGCCTCATCAATTTCATCACTGTTTCGTATATTATTTTGGAATTCCTTGGTCTGGAGACTAGATTGTCCTTGAAAATTTACCTGCAGAGTACATGCCACAGTTGCGTGCAATATAAAAGTATCTCAATTGAACCTTTTTCTTTGAGAATGAGTGACAACTTGTAGTTTCTGTGGCTACATTATTGTAATTTTGTTAGTGGTCCGGCAGACACACTGTTTTGGTTCTCTATTTCTTGTCAGTCTTCTGCAAGTTTTAGATGTAACTGGTGTCTAGTGCATAAAGTTGACTTTCCTGGGTTCTAGGACCGGGTACATTTGTACTAACCGATTGGTAACCTGAAATAGTGTTTAGTCTGATGATAGTTATCAGTCACTTAAAAGAAGCATATTTAGAACTATGGTATGGTAACTTATGTACTCTCAATAGTGATCTACTTGATTGACAAATGATCTTTTTTGTGCCTTTCTTTAAAGAGGAGTTTCCATTTTGTTGATTTTTGTTGCTTTATGTTTGCAAAATGTGTTTCTGAGTACCATCTCCAATCTCCTTATGGTAGACATAATTGTAGGCTAAACCCCTAGATCCTTTTCATTACTGAACCTTGTTATAAGTTAACATAGCTATGATGTTGGGCTTTTCTAGCTGAATTTGGAAGATTTAAACTAAAAGGTCTGGTACTTTGACAAGCAATTGTTGCTTTGACAGCTAAGCAAAGATGTTAATTAACTAAACTAATTTTAGAATCTAGCCTGTCCTTGTAATGGTATTGATAGGTACAATGTTGAGTTCTATTTACCAAGAATAGAGATGCAGCTAGCTTTTATATAGAGATTAATTTTTAAAGTCTCCACAGATTATACAAATGTACTACGAACCTTCTGTTATTTTAATCATTTTAGTTAATAAAGCCCAATATCGCTACTTGTAGCTTAGGGACCCTGCTTCTGACCTGAGAACATTAAAACTCAAGATCTTTCAATTGCTATGACAAAGCTTGTTGACAGGGAAAAGGTGTAGATAACTTGCCGTGGTTATGGTGTTGGAATCAAGCTATAAAAGAAATCATTAAAATGCACAGCTATATAGCTCTAACCCCATTCTTAATTTCGAGAATGAGAAATTATCTGCTCCATGATGGCACCTGCTTTTGTCCTAGTACAAAACAGATAAGGTATACTAGTGAGGTTAGAGAATGGAATGTCTGCAAATGAGATCTATAGACAAAACACCCTTGTGAAGGAAAAGATGTGATCTATATTCAAAAAATGGTGGGCTTTGAACTGTAGAATCCTATAGAAATGCTGATTATATGATATTCTCGAGAATGAAGCGAAATCTTGACGAGATATTTAGTTTACTAGACGACAAGGAATTCCAAGTTCATTCTCTGCAGAGATCATAATTTACTGAACGGTAGCACATTCAAAGCTTTAATTATTTAGAATTGCTTCCACCCTGGAATTGAAAAATAATCCAATCTTTTGTACTTCGGAATAGCATGCAACTTGGTACATTGACGGTATTTTTCCCCATCTTGTCGTTTTGCTTATTTGAGCACTCCTTTGATAAGTAGTAATTGATCTTTTAGGACTCTCTCATGATAGATGCTGCATGAGCAGATATAAAATAATTGTCCAAGTTGAGATGGTAGATGAACGCTTGCAGATTGAATACATATCTGCAGAAAAGAAAAAGTTAAATTGTCTTGTCATCTTGATCAATCTCAATCGTACTAGCCTTTTGGCACTAAATTACTTATTCATCATAAACAACTTATCGCAAAAGACTTGGTTTTATCATTTTCTTTCGGTTTTTTGTACTCTATTTTGTTGCATGGGAAAAACGAGTAATGACAAGGGTAGAGGTGTCAAAATGGGTGACTTAGGCGGGTTTGGGTTGGGTAAAATGGGTAATGGGTATAAGTGAGTCAACTCATTTATATCCATTTAATTAGATGGGTATAAATGAGTAAGTCAAAAAATGAATTGGGTAACCCAATTACCCATTTATAACCCATTTATTTTAACTTTTTGTAAACTCATTTAAATTCATTTTTACAAACTAAGTTATCAATTTATACCATTCTTTGTACCCATCATTAGTTTTAAATATTTACTTATAATGTTCAATAAACTTAATTACCAATTTTTTTCAATTATACTCTATGTCACAAAATTACCTATTATTTAATAATTGAATAATAAGAATATAAAAATTTGAACTAAGTACTATAAAAATTAATATAAAAACTTAATCCAAAAATTTTGAATCCCTAACATTTTTTTTCATATATAAATTTAAAATTTCATTTTAGAAAGATAAGAAAATAGGCTAAAATTTATCATAAATTAGTAATGTTGAAAAATGAGCAAGTTAACAAACTAAGAGAAAATAAAATAATAAGATAAAACCAACAAATAATAATAATAATAATGAAACAAAAGTAGTTAACATCATGATAAAATGAAAATTTTGAAAAAAAAAATGGGTGGGAGAAAAAAAGAGACTTGGGGGGAAGAGAATTTTAAATGGGTTAATTGGGTTTGATGGGTTAAATGGGTATTATTGGGTAACTCATTTATACCCATATATAAAAATTTAAGATACCTATATCCATCTATTCATGGACGGGTATGAGTAAATTTAATTAAGTGGGTTGATTTGTCACCTCTAGACAAGGGGAATCTCTGAGTAATGAATGAAGCAGTAGAGCAGCCTTCTTTTAAACTGATTTTATAGACTATAGACCAGACCATAAACGGATACTTTAGGAGTAACTCTTGGTAAACCGTCTAGTGTCTGAGAGAGAGTCTGCTTTTAAGAAAGTGTTTGCCTGATGTTCCCTTGAACTTTCATAGGGTCTGCAGAAGTTCATATTGTGATGCTGACTGTTTCTCGCTCTCCCCTTCTTCAAAATTATTGATTTACATACTTTGATTTTGTTTGAGTCAGCTACATGCTTAATGACCAATAAGCAATGCTTTTGTCTTTGACGCATCCGTCCTCCTTTGAGACCGAAAATAAATTGTTTATACTCATATTGTATCTATAGGCGGCAAATCAACCCATTTAACTAAATTTATCCATACCCGTCAATGAATAGATGGGTATGGATATTTTAAATTTTTGTAGATTAAATGGGTATTATTGAGTAACCCATCAAACTCAATTAACCCATTTAGAATTCTCTTCCTCCAAGTCTCTTCTCTTTCTCCACTCATTTTTTTTTTCAAATTTTTCATTTTGTCATGATGTTAACTACTTTTGTTTCATTATTATTATTATTTGTTGATTTTATTTTATTATTTTAATTTTTTTTTAGTTTGTTAACTTGATCATTTTTTAGCATTACCAATTTATGATAACTTTTATAGTACTTAGTTCAAATTTTTTTATTCTTATTATTCAATTATTAAATAATATGTAATTTTGCGACATAGAGTATAAATGAAAAAAAATTGGTAATTAGGCTTATTGAACATTATAAGTAAATATTTAAAATTAATAATGGGTACAAAGAGAGGTATAAATTGATAATTTAGTTTGCAAAAAAAAAAATTAAATGAGTTTACAAAAAATTAAAAAAAATGAATTATAAATGGGTAATTGGGTTATCCAATTCATTTTTTAACTTATCCATTTATACCCATTTAATTAAATGGATATAAATGGGTTGGCTCATTTATATCCATTATCTATTTTAGCCAACCTAAACCCGTCCAAGTCATCAATTTTGACACCTCTAGTAGTATCACATGCCATTAGTCTAAACCATGGTGTTGGTGGTCACCTGTAATTTTTACAGTTATTTGCTTGGTGACCGTACTGGGGGTACTTTTGTGTGCATTACTTTAATCATAGTTGAAGAGACACAATCTGTGAAGAATTATTAGTATCGCCATGTTGTTGCAAACTCTTGTTACTCCATGGCTAAAGTATACACGTCCTTACAGTGATATTGAGGAAAAGCTGCATGTTTTGTTATTCTCTTTTTCTCAAGTGTATTTCTCTCTATTGAGTGACGAAAAGCTGCTTGTGTGATTCTTCCGTAGTATAATTAAGCCTCGATGTATTATTCTTTCGTAGGATAAGAGTAGTGTAACAATACAGTAAAAAGGAGATGCGTAAATCCTTTTGTGGATATTATGTAGTGATATGTACCATACGCGGGCGCTGGGTGGATGTTGTTTTTCCTACCATGTGGACTGGCTGTGAGACTTGAGAATTTTCAAGTGTAACTCTTCCGCAGCATTATCTTTATAAAGTCTTTAAATAGTATTTGACATTGTGTACACATGATTTACTTAAAATCAGTAGTTATAAGGGTAACAAAATGTGAATTACCGAGAAGCACAATGATTGCAAACAAACTAAGCTTTTAATTGGTAATCTACTATAGAAGTCCGCCAATTTTTCTCTACATCTTCTGTAAAAATGTTCCATCAGTTACTCACCAACCACACCTATTGAATTTCATAAACAATATGTTGCTTGCAAGTCTACGGTTGCAAACTCAGCAACTTTCACACCTCGACGTCCATCTAAATATTCCAAAAGAAGCCTACACATCCAACTTCATGAAATTAGCTAACAAAATTAATCTCTCCAAATATGAGCAAATACAGGCTCCACTTGGCCGTGAATTTTTTAGGTGTTTGTTTAAAATTTTACTGTGGTTTACTGTAGAAGTTTTTTAAAAAAAAAAAATTTGAAGTGTGTTTTTTTTTTAAATATTTTTGAAGTGTGTTTTTTTTTTTATATTTTGAAGTGTATAGTTTAAAATTTTTGAAAAGCTTTTTGAGATTATTGTAATTAAAGTTTTTAAAAAACTTGTAGCAAACAAACTTGGTAAAAAACTTTACTTGTGAGCAAGAAACTTGGCAAACTTGGCCACAAATTGAGAAACTTACCTTTACAATTAACCAAATATTACACCTTTTGACAATCGACTACCTTTTGCTCGTGAGCACAGCTTCCCTTTTTGGAGAAAAAATGGAAGTTGTTATCTATTACAAGCTGAATAATTAGCAAGATTATCCATTTCAGCAAAAATTTATGCTCAATTAAATATTTTCAATTCTATTGCTCAACGTCAAATTAAAGAAGACAAACATCAGGAATTCTTATATTGATGTCCTTTTGCTCATGTCTTTACATAAATCTTGCTTGTCCTTTTTCTTTTGCTAGAGTATGGTTCTTTCGTTAAATTTTTGTTGATTTTGTTCCAAGGGGATTGGCTTGAGTTATCATATGTCCTGAAAGTTAATTTGATTTGGTTGGATTGAAAATAATTTAAAAAAAAAATGGAACTACCATGCTATTGCACTTGTGGACCTTACTACTATTATTGTGCTTAGATTATGTACAATATGAGTCTCTAATGCTTAATCTCAATTAACGTTTTGTTATTTAATTAATCTCAGTTAGTTTTTTTGGATGTTCTTCCCTCTATTTTTTTAGTCTGTAAGATTTTA